CATGGAGACCTGTATTTACTTAGCATGATAACAAAGTGATTTACATTTGAAAGGCAGCAAGGTTTGTATCATAACAAGGTCATCTCTCTAGCCTCACTCCCGTTCAAAGGCTTGGCAACCAAGCACACAACTATAAAATGGACCATTGCGGTCTTGTTATCACAATTTAACTTTACCAAGCTTCCTCTCGCCCGCATTTCATTGGTCTACGATTTACGGCTGAGAGTGCAGCAAGGTAATTTTCTAGAGATAACTCGAATGGATTCGTTTAGAGGATTGATAGTATCGAGAACTTTAAGCACACTCATATTTGTGACGACTATCATTTGGGATGCGGTCGGAGGCATTCTGTTTTTCACTTTCCTTTACATAGAAAACAGTGAATCGACGTCGGACATCCGCTGTGATGCAGATCTGAGCGACAAAGGTGGGAAGGACCCCGCCGTCCTTGAAAGGTGCTTCGATGAATACCAGAAAGAATACAACAAGTTCCCTGTGTTTGGCTTCGTCCTCATAAACTTCTTCATTATCACATTGGTCCTTATCATTTACTCGCAGACATCCAAATCGAAAATTGACGCGCTCGAAACCCGGAACCCTGATGTAGAAGGACGGCAAGGAAATGTAGTAAGAAGAGGTCTGTTTGCAGGGTACTGCTGTCAGCTAGCTGTGATAATTGTTCTGGCGATCCTGTTTATCATCTTACTGCAAATTACTATAGATTTTCCGTCGAAGTTTGAATGTAATCTTTCGAAAGAAGGTTCCAATTCATCGGCGTTTTCGTCCACAAACGCCTCACCAATAAAACCTGATATTTACGCGTGTCGCAATACACGAGCAGCTAAGAGAGCCGGTGGTAGTGTTACCATTACTGTATTGAATGGAATCTATATCTTTATCGCTTCATCTGAACTTCTCTGGATCTTATCACGGGCAAGGAATGATAGGCGGTTCAAGGAAGACTCGCAATTTTATGTTGATCATTTAAGATCTAACCGTGACCGAGAGCCGCAGCCGCAACAAAATGAAATGACGTCTGAAGAGCCAGTAGCTGTTCATGCAGGGTCCACTTATGGCAACCAAGAGCAGCAGCCAGAAAAAAATGAAGGGACGGAATCCCCAGCAAGGTCAGAAAGAATGCAAACGAAATCTGAAGGACAAAGCAAAATTGATATGGCCATACATCCAGGGGAGAAGCAAAAAGTTAACAGCGTCAATACCATCCTTATGCCTCGTTTAAAGTCGGGAGAACTGTCTGAGCAACAGAGATCGTCACCGCCCAGACCGACAGAAAAACGTCCTGACCAAGAGCCGCGGCCGCAACCGCAAAATGAAAAGGCAGTACCCACCAAGGAATCAGAAACAAGGCTAACGAAATCTGCAATAGAAACCAAATTTGAACAAATTGATTTTGAAGATGCAGCCACATATCCAAGCGAGACGACAAAAGCTACGTTTGGTTCAAAGTCGCGTGAACTGTCTGAGCAGCAGAATTCGTCGCCGCCCTAGCAGCTGATTGAAAAATGTTCTGAATCCTGGAATGGACCTAAGAAAAAAGAAACACGTTGTAAACCTGTGAATCAACATAAACAGCCCGAATATCATGATCAACCCGCAGCAGGGTCAACGCCGACGCGCACCACACGTTCGGGGCGAAAGATTGTGAGTCCGAAACGTCTGTGTTACCATGTCTTGGGTGGTAATGTCACTGAAGGACCGTGCTCTGCGAGTCAAGAGGGACAGTCCGAATCTCATGATCAAACTGCAGCATGGTCAGAGCAGGCGACGACACCACGTTCTGAGCGAGTGACACCGACGCGCACTACACGTTCGGGGCGAAAGATTGTGAAACCGAACCGTCTTACTTACCGTGACTTGGGCGATATTGTCACCAAATGACCGTGCACTGTAAATCAAGAGGGACAGCTCGAATTTCATGATCAAACCACAGCATGAGCAAGTGAGTAAGAGACCGAAACGTCTTTACAACCATTCCTTGCGCAATAGTGACACCACCGAGATAAACTGGTGTGCACAAATGTGAGATGTAATGAAGGGTTATGTGAAAGACTTAGCAAATTCACTTGATAGCAATCGTTAGAGAGCAGCTTTCAACTTTTTTTTTGTGTACTCTTTATTTGAAAAAAAAATACTGCTTTAACATGGAAACGAGGCTGGTAATAAAACGATTATTTTAATTGCCTTCTGTGATTATCATAGCCAATAAATCAGTACCTGTAACATCAAAAAGCATTTCAAAACAACGTTTTGGCTAAGACCTAAAATTTGTAATTTTATTTGAACGAGTCGGTTCGCCAACGTCGTAGGTCGTTTCGCCGACGTCTCAGGTTAGTTTGCTAACGTCTCATAGGTCGTTCGCCAACGTTTTGGGTTTTTTTAGTTTTGTTTCCTACGAAGTAGCATCAAATGAAACCCCTCGCCGAGAATATACGTGTAAGATCGGTCGAAAATGAATTGGACGGGAGCTGATGAGGTCACTTTTTATACAATCGGTCAGGCGTTAGTTGTGACTGATCATTTGACTTCCAACCTGAACCATAACCAAGAGCCACGGCCGCAATAAAATGAAGAGACAGATCCAACGCCACAACCGTAAGGAGCTGCCCCTTTAAGCTCCACGCGCGTGTAATTCGAAACTCACGTTGCAAGCATCCGCATTTGAACAGAAAAGAAGTTGGAAACAGAATTCAGTGACTTGTAATAAGCTTTTTGTTCTACCCTCTTTCTTTATTATACTTTTTAAGGGAAGTTTAATTTATCTGGATATCAATAAATTCGACTTGAAAACAAAGACCAAACCAGGAAGCACTTTAACAAAATTTGCCAAGTTCCCCCTCAGGTACTTTAGGCAACCCATAGGTGGTGACTTGTCTGGTGACTTTTTTCTGTTTCTAAGTACTAGGAGTTTGGTCGGTTGATTATTAAAAGACACAAACCTGTATTACTGAGGATAAGGAAGAGTTGAAAAGACAGGTGCAAGACTCTTTGTTCTTTCCAATCCGCGTGGTACATACAGCTTTCGTCTCTCCTTCCCCTTTTTTTTTTACTTGTTTTGTTTTGTTTTTTTCACGATTACTAAGTCACTTACTTGATTCTTTGCCCCCTTGGCATGAGACACCATTTATGTCTCTAAATTTGTCAGGGATACTTTCGGTTTCGACATGTGGCAATACGTAAAAAAAAAAAAAGATGAATTCAAGCGATCAATAAAGACATGTCGACAAAATCCTCAAAATTCGCAAAAATTAGAGGCTCTCAAAATGAATGAATGAATGAATGAATGAACTTTAATAATTTCTCCTGTACAGGCTTTTCAGCAGCTATTTACAATGGTAGACAATTTACAATCACAAATGAACAACTTAAAATAGGGTAATAAAAATGAAAAAAATATATATCTATGTCCAATGGGTATCATACAAAGACTATTAATGTGCTCCTCTTAGGGAGTCCTTCGAAGAATGTTTCAGTGACTTTACTGACGGCAAGTTCACTAGGTCACTACTCGGAATTTAATAGTGAAACTGCTCTATGGGCAGAGGTTCGTTGACCGTTCGCGGACCTATAAAAAGGAATCTTTGCCATGCAGTGATTATCATGTCAAAATCATAATAATGTTAGTAGGATTGAGTGGAGTCCAATTCTTTCCTATAATTATACGCGTGAGAACAAAACTGCTTGCGCAGCAAATTCTGTCACGGACTCAGTTAGTGTTTCGTGGTAATGGACGCTCATGGACAGGGGTATCATTTTCCAACTGAAGGGAATTACCAAAACAAAACAAAAAAAGCGATCAGCAAATTAAACATGCAAGGTATGCCGCTCTGATTGGTGCAAGCTTACCCCAAGGCTGTGATCTAATAGCCCATTTCCGAATTACCCTTGGCCTCTTTTTCAGAACGAGGCCTGGTGTTCAACCATTCTTGCGAAAATGAGTTTAATTTGCACGTGAATGAAAACTTATAATCATATGAAAGGATGAGCACCAGGACTCGTTTTGAAAATGAGGCCAAGGGTAATTCGGAAATGGGCTATTGAAGTGAAATACATACTCTAATGCTGTGATCTGAGGGTTGTGCGAGATACGTACCTAATGCGGCGATCTCATTTGTGCAAGCATGATATTACTCTAATGTTTCATCAAAAAGTCGATAAAAACCACTTAAATTCCAAAAAGAGGTTGGAATTCTCCTCTACAACTAGGCAAGAAGCGATTAGATGAAACCTACAAGTCAGGACGCTTGAGACTTACCACCACTCATTGACCGGTCAACCACTGCTCGAAAGAATGCAACACACAAAGAAACTGTGCGATGGGTTTTATCGAAAAGTATCTCCTTGTCAGTTGAACGCTACTGAAAATACATTTGCCTAAGGATTGTTATTGTATGCATGCATTCCTCCCTATTGATAGAAAACAATTCGTGTTTAGTTGTTTTGCGTTATTACTGTGCATCTACGACAGAATTTTCCTCTGTAAATAGGCTATTTTACAGTTGTGTACTTAGTTGCCAAGCCTTTGCTTCAGAGTGAGCCTAAAGATGACCTTGTTGTGATAGAGACCTGTATCTACTTAGCATGATAATAGAGAGATTTAGCACCGCGTTTACGTGGAACGTAAACGGCAAGATTTACCACGTGACTTTGTTTTTTCCGCTAATTTTTCACGTTTGCTGGTTGCGCTTCGCCGTCTCTACGTGAAAGGAACCTGTAAGATTTTCTTCAGTTTTTCTCTCACAAAGTAAAACGGGCACCAAACCTATTCCTTGTAAGTCCTTCAAGCCCGCCTTCAAATCCACTATGACGTCAGCTCACGCGAAGGTAAGCTCACGAGAAGGTAAACCCGCAAGGTTCACGCTATTTTAACGTGAAACGTGAAAGAGTAAGCGGACGTTTGCCGTTTCACGTAAACACGGTTCAAAATCTCTAATGACTGGATCCTAACCAAACATGTGAGCGTGTCGATAAGTTTCCCATTTTATTCTAGTTTATACTAACATGTCAGATGACGAAAAGAAACTTTTTTGTGTATCTTGTGTTCAAGTACTGTTAGTTGAGTCTGAGATTTCTCGGCCAAAGGAAATTGTGATTTAGGGTGTGTACAACAGCATGGATGAATCGTTAAGTTTGTATTTGTCAGCAAGGTTTTGTGCTTTTTTTCCCAGTTTCTTGGTATGCTTCTTTTTTCTGATAAACCTTTCCTCTTGCTCGAACAATCCCTCTTTGTCCCGCTCATCGCAAAACCGCGAACTCCTCATTCGATTCCAAAGATCCCTCTTCATGCAGACGAGCACTATAAGAACTAAAAAATTGGATGGACAAATATATAAATATGAACAGTTTTAACATAAGAAGGCAGCTTCTTCCACAAGGGACGAAACGCTGTAACCTGTGTTTCCCATTGTGGTAGATGAAACAAAAAGGCCATCGGGATAGCCAGAGACCCTAGTTCCCTAACATAAGTGTTTGCGAAAGTTTGTAATTGTAAGACTGAAATGATTACAGGAGTATTTTGATCGGTACTGCTTTAATTATTGTTAATTTTTATCTGATATTGACTACAACTATACCAGTCAGTGCTGAGCAGGTTCGTCTTACATAACCCAATACAGCTTTTTAGAATGTTCAATATCCTCATAGTGTGTTTCGCAATCATTCCAAAATCCTTCTCGTAACACTCTTAGGGCCTCGTGTAGCTTCGGGTGATGTACAAATAAAAAGAGCCGTTCAAAATTACAAATAGTGGGAAGCAAAAGAAAAGAGAGAGAAAGGGAGGGAGGACAGTTGTGGGACCGTACAGCGACGGGTGGGTAGGAAGCTTTGGAGGTTAAACATGAAGGCGCGCTATATAAGGAAGTCTTCCCTGGGAAGACCTAGGCTCATTTGTCACTCACCGTTGACGTGTGCGGGTCAAATTTAAATGCTGGTAGACGAACAAAAGGAGCTAATGAGATATCTATTGTTTACTTCCACCAGCATGGTGGGGTTCTGTCCTGGTGTACCGGTTCACA